CTCCCAGCTTCTTGTGCCCCTGGCAGAGCAGGGAAAGCTGAAAAAGTCCTTGGCCAGTCTAAGCGCTGCTCAGCAACAACTAAACCATTAGTGAGTTATCAACATTCTTCTTGTACTAAATCCAAAACACAGCACTGTGTGTCGTGGATGGAGTGAGAGGGAGGCAAAAATAATATAGTTTATCGGTGTAAAACAGTGAGTTACCAAAGTTCAGTGGTAAATGCAACAGTGGCTTATAAGATTCAATGGCAAGGAACACTTGGTTACTTACTGTACAGAGGGCAGGGTCAGACAAAGCTGTCAGGGAGACCCTCCAGTTGGGTCATGAGGTTCAGACAGGACCCCCTTGCTTTCTAAACTCCTTCCTCAGAGAGGAGTCTGGTGCGGCTGGATCCAGTCCTAGTCCCAGACTTGGTCAATGGTGTATGTCTAAAGGATTATATATGCGCGATCGATCCTTTATGTTACTTGGCTAAGGTTTCAGTGTTAGCACGCTGTTAGCCTATCACTGAGAATCTGTTGTGGTGAGGAATCTCTCAACCTCAAGGAGTAACCTTGAGAGGCGTCCCTGCTCAAGGGGAGATCCTGCCGTGCAGCCCGATGCCGTGCAGGAGAGCTCAAAGGGCTCCTGGGCTGCTCCCTATTGATGGGGGTAAGATAATTGGCTCATAGACATATTTGCATACTGACCACTGTGCTTAGGTGGCCACATTCCACTATAGCCCTCAGCTATCTGTCTTCCCCACATCCAGTGGGTGCATCCTTCACAACCAGACACATCCATCGCGGCTGACACGGGTGGTTATCCCTTGAAAGAGGTCGAGGGAGGGGGAGTCAGAGGGGAGGAGGGAGCACACCACCACACCATGCCAGCTATTAGGAAGAAGATTAACTCTGTCCCAGCTGAAACCAGGGCAACGATAAATGTCTGAAAATCACCTTGCAAGCCCAGTAAGGACAGTCTTTGGGATGGGTTTAGCTGCTCTCTTACTAGCAACCTAACTGTGTTCAAAAGTGAAAACAGGGAGGTCTAAACCTTTTCAACATCTTTCTTCCAGGAGGAAAGCAGTAAACACGAGGCAATGGATGTGAGGGTAACCCACTGCCTGCTCCTTTGGGCTGTGCACTTCTTCCCAGCCACGCCGCGCACTGCTCTCAGGGTAAGCTTCACTAGATGAGGTTGCTCAAAGCCCCATCCCACCTGGCCTTGAACACTTCCAGGGATGGGGCATCCGCAACTTCTCTGGGCAACCTGTTCCAGTGCCTCACCACCCTCATCATAAAGAGTTTCTTCCTCATATCCAATCTAAGTCTACCCTCTTTAAGTTTAAAACCATTGCCCCTTGTCCTGTCACTACAGGAAGAAATACTCTGAAGTATTTAATACATTCAATATGCCAAGCAACCTCCAGCACAGCTCCTGGAGTGTTAGACATCTGCTGTTCAGCCTGCTCTACCCAGCAGTAACAGTGCAATTTCCAAGGCATCACGTAGTCAGACTTTGCTTCCAGACTGACAGGGTTGTTGTAGATGATAGACCATTTGACCAAGCAGTGATGGAAGCCCTTTTGGATTGCACCCGGCTGAAAGACATGCAGTCCCAGCATGCAAGGAGCCTGGTACGCCTGCTTCGGGGTCGCTTCCCAACCAGGAGAGGAACAAAGTGGCTATTGGTATTTGTACAGCTTTATCTTATGGTAAAAGTCATATAGATCATGTATTCTCATCAACAAGTCACATATTCTCATCAACATGAGAAATATTGGAGAAGTGTCACGATCCACTGTTGGGTTGAACAATTTGGCAGAGGTTAAACCCCCTTGTTTTCCAATCAACCTCAGATAATTCTGGGAGGTTGGGGGCAGTTGGGTTTAACTTCTGATTAACTCCAATGTTTTATTGTGACTAGGTTCCTTTTACATTCTCGGGAACAGAGTTAAGACTCAAAACAGTGTCAAGTGCCAAGTCACTTTATTTGGCCAACAACAAATACGCAGGAGAAAAGCAGAGAAAGAGAGGAAAAGTGAGAAAGGGAAAGAAAGGGGGAGAAACAAACAGCAGGGGAGTGTTGCGATAGCTACCCGGGGCGGCCCGCGCAGCCGGTGCACCTGATGTATCTTCGAATCCAGTGGAGGGCAGATGTTCCTGGATGCTCCTCCTGGTCTCTGCTGGTTTCCCCTTTTTACAGGATTGCCCTCTTGCATAGTCAATAACTGTTTTGCATACCCAGGCCTCCCACTTGGCAGTGGGGTGCATGCCCAGTACCGTCACTAGAGGGTGCTTGAAAATCCCAGAGGGTCCGAGCCCCCTCCCCGTTGTCAGTCGACCCTGGGCCCGGGCGGGGACATGTCTGCCTTGGTGATTAAACTGTCCCACTCAGTTGTCGTGGTGATTAGGCTTTGGTAGTTCAACTTGCCTGCCACCAACCTTGAGACAAGTTTCTAGTCCCTTACAAGAAGTTAAGCCAAATACAGGCTTTTTGACTGAGGAATAGCTGCTGGAGTCATATGTGACCCTGTCCCCTAGCTCAGTATGTCACTTCAGTCGAAGGGTGCAGCTGAAGGCTTCATATCGAGAGACAAACTGTTAGTGGAGGGTTCTGAGCTGGCCTGCATGAGCGACTGGCCACGAGCTCTGCATTCTGGACTTTGAAGACTTCTGGACCTCAAAAGGCCTATTTTACCCTTGAAATCACCTTTCTCGTTTGTGCCAAGGAGTCGTCTTACTTATTGTGACATTCAACCTACGTTCCACTTTTCCTTATTTTTCAGGTTGTCAGTAAGGAATCGAAGATTGGTAATCAGCAAGGTACAGTGAATAGCTACGCATCTTTTAATTCTTTATGAAGTGTTATCGGTTATAAATACCTTACACCCCTGATACCTCATGGACCATGGTATGCTGTCTTACACCTTATAACAGTATCTGCTTGACTTGTTTTCCAGGTGGGTGTATAAATCTTATACCCTGCAAAGATAACGGAGCTATTTGTATTCAGCCTTGTTCTCCCCCCTTCCATGGGGAGACAAGCTTTGTCTGCGAAAACAGAAAGTGGCAAATGTTCACAGATGCTTGTGCTAGCCTGGATGTTCAGTCCCTTTTTCAGGTGAGGTAACTGTTCTGCATCTACATTGGCCTATGCTCATAATTTCTTGCAAAGACACCCCCCCCTTCCTCCACACCTTTTAAAACTTGAGCAGAGGGAAGAAGTTGGGATCTTAAAACACCAATTGCGTTAGTAACAGGATTTGACATCACCTTAAATCAAATGATGGGAAATAAATTTGGAAAATTCCTATATGGAATCATAATTCAGAAATGAAATCGCCTTGTTCACTCGGCTGGTGTTCTTCACGTGGGTCTAAACCAAGACAATGATACACTAGAATGAACCTGTAATAATCGGATGATTCACGGTAAATTCTCCCCTAATTACAAAATAAAGGACCTTATTCAAGTCACTTCAAGAATAAGGCACTGTATTTAGTTCTGGCCCCTTCCTTCATGTGTGTTGTACAAGCACGACATTCTTCTCAGGTGAGCTTTGGTCCTGGGCTTCAGGCCATCTGGCACGTTCATTGCACGCCCCAGCACTGCACCTCTTGCCTGGTTGTAGCTGTAGCTTAATTTTCATTCTGCTCATTAATTGTCTCAAATTTATTTTCTTCCCTCCAGAGGATTTCTGAACGCGAACTTGTTCCAAGCTCTGGAGGACATGTTAGTGTTGCTGGAGGACACCTTCCTTTTGTAGGGGAAGGAAAGCCAGACCGTGGGAAGCCTGGAGATGGAGCAAAATATTTTGGTGCTGATGACTATGGGGATAGTAACTGCCAAGCTGATTTTTCATGCATCATCCCAGATATCCTGTCTTCACCAGCCATTCCAGGAAACATTGCTGATATAGTGGAGTTGCTAAAGAAGATTTCCCTGCTGTTTTTGGAGAACGTCAATAGAGGAAAAATGCAGGTATTTACTTTTATGGGCTTCAGGAGGGGTTTCTGAGCTTGCTGGAGCACCCAGACAGTGTTTTGTCCTTATAGCTACTCTCCAATAAGTGGTGGCTGCAACTTGCATGGAGGTCACCTGGAAAGTTTCCAGAGAGGATGATTTTATCTTGTCAGAGAAACTGTTTAGTCTGTCCATGTGTGGTGGAAATCCTCTGTTTCACCCAGGAGTGGAATTTGCTTTCTTTAAAAGTAAAAGTTTGCAGGAACCACTGTTGTAGACATGGGAGAGCAGTACCAGGAAGGATCAATTTTTCAAGTATGACATCGTAGGGAAGGCAGCCATGGAGGTGCTTACCCACAGCTATGTTGTTATGTGTTGCACAATGGAAACTGAAATCTTTCCCTGATGAACTCAGAAATCAGAGAGGCGGGGGAAGAAATGTAGGGAGGGAGGTGCAAAGCAGACCTGCATAGTGGGTCAGCGTATGGAATAGGACTTAGGTGTCCTGATTTTTGATCTATACTTCCTTCTCCAAGCACTTTTTGAGCTGTGATATGAAGAGGATAGGAGAACTCCGTTAGTGATTCGTGCCAATGAGATGTTTGGGTTTGACTGGGATGGGATCATGGGAACCTGCTTGTTGTCAAAGAATAATATTCCCTTTATAGAAATCACTCGAGTTAAATGAGCCTTTCTGGAGGCCCTGCCAGTGGAAAAATAGTTGGTTTCCTTTAACATAAAAAATAACTTATTTTTTTCTTTTTTCTTTCAGAGTTACAGCAGGATAGCAAACCATATTCTAAACAGCTCCATCATTTCCAACTGGGCTTTTGTAAGGGACAGAAATGCCAGTTCGATATTACTGGACTCGGTGAATTTATTTGCTGGGAAACTTCTTCTAAGGAATGGGTCAGAAAGTATACAGGAACACTTCATCTCTACAAAAGGCTACAGCATACATAAAAATAGTTCAGGGAAGAGCTTTGATTTTTCTATGGCATTCAGTAACACAGGCAATATCACTGGGCACATGGTCATTCCAGAAGAAGAACTTTTGAAGTTACCCAAGACTTCCAAAGCCATCAGCGTTGCATTTCCAACGCTTGGAGCCATTATAGAAACCAGCCGGTTGGACCCTGGCTTGGTGAATGGAATGGTCTTGTCTGTGTCTCTGCCAGAAGAGCTCCGGCATATTTTGCTCACCTTCGAAAAGGTGAATAAACTGGAGAACGTCAAGGCTCAGTGTGTTGCGTGGCACTCTGCTGAAAGGAGGTGGGATAGCAGGGCATGCACAGTGAAGTCTGACAACATCAGCAGCGTTGTTTGCATCTGCAGGCATCACCGTCGGACGTTCAAATCCTTTTCCATTTTGATGTCCCCCACCACGCTGCGAAATGCAGTGCTGGATTACATTACTCGTGT